AGGGTACCCCTGTTTTCGGAAACCCCCACCTCCAGCAAATGCAAAGTTCCACGTTCGACGACTTTGCAGTTCGGGGGCCCTGGCCCGAAGCACTCTACGCAGCCATCGCGCGCACGGAGGAACTCCTCGCCCCAGGCAGGGTTGCTGCTGTTTCTTCGGCTGAGAATGCTGGGGTTTTGTGGCTTAGGTTACAACAGTGAGTCTTATTCAGACTAGCCGTCGGCCTTTGTGACCACATTCCATGTCTCAGCTGGGCATTCAGCAGCTGTGTGGTGTCAAAAGGAAGTTGCAAGATATTCCTTTCAGCTCGCTGGTGGCGAAGCGGTGGTTTTCAATTTTCTCGCTGGGATTCTATCGTACTGTCACCTCTGAAGCTTGAGTGGAGGAGGGCAACGTCTGTCTCCAAGTCCCGCCCTTCGTGGAGAGCTCACCTCCCTTTAGCTTGCAGACTGTAAAGTTGGCATAGTGTAGTCTGTGCCAACCTGGCAGGCAAAGATTGAGGGAAGGCTCAGGCGGGCAACAGAGAAGATGGGAGAGAGTGAGCTTGAATGGGTGGCAACGGCTTCTGGTGGCATGAATGCATACCACTCCGCCTTTATCGTTCCCCGGCAAGACCCCCACTGGGCTGGTGTTGGCCTCCTCTGGCACGAAAACTTCATGCGCACGTATGGTTGTGAGCGTCTTCTTCTGCATCGGATGGTTTCACAAAGCTGGCGTTCACTTCATAGCGCCCGCCTCTTTCTCCTCTTACTACACCCCAGCCCAGGTGTCCCCATGGGAAGCTCAAACCAGTTTGCATCCTTTCATTTCCTTTGCACATGACTCCCAAAATACTCCCAAATAATGAAAGCCACCTCCCCAGAATGCCAGAATTTCATAATGCAGAATGCCAGAACTTCATGGTGGCTTCAAGATTCCGGCTAGAGAGTGTCGGCCACCCGGGTCAAGGGGGTCGTGTCTCTGGAAATCAGTGCCTCTGCAGCTTTATGACCTTGAGGTTCGGAGGTGTGAGTACAAAGCCGAAGAGCTGATTGCTTCAGAGGGTGCCTTCAGGATCGTCCCACGGTGATGTGGGTCCACAGAGGATGCTCAAGATGCTCTTAAGCACACATCTGCCCTAGAATCCTACACAACAACAGACAGGCCTCTTTGGCGTCCGCTTGCTGGCCGTTGTAGAACAGGAATGACTCAGCTCCCGCGACTTTCATTGGCCGAGCGCGAGAAACACTGAGAATGCACGTCAACGTATGCAAGTGCCTAAAACGCCCTTGATCAGCCGAATCCCTCGACAGGCAAACGTTGAGTTTCATCAAATGATGCTCAGCTCGGGACGGCCAAATTGTACATAGAATCCAAGGTGTACGGGTGTGTCGCGCCCAGCCTCAGAGAGCAGACGCACATGTGAAAGGTTTAGGGGCTTTTTTTGCGGCTCGAGCGCTTCGTAGCTTTAAGGTTCAGCTAAGCAGGTTAAGGCTTCCAGGCAAGGCATTCTCACTTTCGCAGGTTACAGAAAGTAGCCCCGTTCGCACCGCCCTCTGAGTCTGGAATCTAATGCTCGGAGCCCTCAGGTTTGACTCCTCAACCCCTGCATGTCCCACCTGGCCCATCCAAAATTGACCCCAACAAACCTGCGGCCACGAACCCCAATGGCCAAGAGACCCTCAAAACGAAGCTCATCTCAAGGGCCAGGGGGCTGTTGCAGTCGACCATCCCGAGCCCGACGGTAGAGGCTCAGTGCCTCCGTCAGATGTCGCGAGCTTTGGAATGCTTGGGGCTGCTTTGGGCTCCCAGGCCTCGGCAGCTACAGAGTTTACTGCTAGGAGTTTGGGGTTTCAGCGGATTCGGGCTGTCACCTTTGGCACAAGCTCATCTTTTGGCAAGCTAAGCGGTCTTCTCTGCTGTAGATCCTGCAGATAGTCAAATTCAGTGCATGCACCTCATCCTTGTCACCAATGTTGTCCAGATATACCTCGGGCACGTGCGACGTGCACGGAAAGCATGGGGTCAGCATGGAACCGCATGGAACCCATGTTGCCCACGTTGTCTCATACCACTATTTTCATCCTGAGAGCATCTCAGTGTTGACATGCGCTTCATGATACAGCATGACACTCGTGCTCGGCATCGTGTCACGATCCCAAGCAAAGCCTCAACCTGGGGCCCTTGCCGCGAGGTTGTTGGCGGTCCGCAGCGTGTTGAGGTGCTCCTCTCCGTACAGCTCCTTGGAGCCTGAAGCACTTTCCGGGCCCTAAACCCTAAACCCTAAACCCTACACCCTAAACCCTAAACCCTAAACCCTAAACCCTAAACCCCGGGGCTAAGGAGTCAGACCTCAGCTTCTTTTGAAAAAAAAAACACCGACATAGGGCCACCCGAGGGCTTCAGACCCCAAGCCCCCCCTGAAAAACCCCAAGCCGCCTTGCAAGGCCCGTTGGAGCAACTCCCCGGCTTCTGTCGTAGCCGGACGCAGCTCCTGGCCCAAGGGGGCACCCAGAGACAGGGCGGGGGGGTGGGGGAGGATTGGGTTTTTTTGGGGGGTTTTGGGCTTCAGCGTATCTTTCTGTGTTTTTTGTTTCTTTGTTTCGGTGGCCGCTTGAAACCTTTCTGGTTTCAGCCAGCAGTTGTTCGCTAAATGCATGTCTTTGCAAGCAGGAGACTGGGAATGAGGGCTTGTATATAGCGGCAGCGAGATCCCCTTCGACATCTTGTAGCAGAGGGGTCCTATGTAGTGTCGTGTAGGCTCTTGATGGCGCTGTCAAACTTGTGGACGTCTGGTAGGTGCTGACGAAAGCTTGCAAATATTTGCAACTGTCACGGGTGGCCGAGGCTCTAAGCGTATAACCCCTTGTTGAACCCCCCCCAAATCCTGAAACCTCTCATGCAAGACACCCTTTAGACACCCTAACCCTAAACCCAAACCCTAAACCCTCAACCCTAAACTCCCAGAACCAGCATCCTCGAGCTGCAGCGCCAGCTCTGTGGCTGCATGGATGGCCTTGTGAGCTCTTCTAGGCGTGACTGCAGGACTTTGGAGTCTACGGTGGGTCTAGAATGTTTTTGGGGTCTCTTACTTTCGTAAACTCCCACATGAGGGTTCTTGTGCTCTAGGCCTTGACAGCAACGTCTCCTGAATTGAAGTAGAAGCAATCAGAACGCAGATGCATCATGTGGCACGATTGACTTTGATGCCCTTTGCAATCCCATTGCGGCTTGAAATTACCGAAGGAACTACCCTCAAAGTAAGCTATGCACGAGTAAGCGCGACACACAGCAATGCAAAGAGAAGATCACTTCTCGCCAGGTCAGTTGGGAAGGGGATGTCGGAGTCCGACAAATGCAGGGCTTAGGGATGTTTGGTGCTGACCTCAGGAGTTCAAGGTTGCCAGGCCTGCTTGCTGGTGTATCCAAACTGCGCCTCCACCTCCGCCAGGCATTTGCGAGCCTCGTCAGAGGATCGCATGTGTTGAGGCCGAAGCCCGATACCTAAGCCCAGGAACCGGAAAGCAGACTTTGAACCCGCAACACTCCTGCAGCCTAAAACTCCACCCCCCAGCTTGCCATGAACAATGGCACAGCGGCTGACCCTTGGTTTTGGATGTTGGCTCGGAGCCGTGGGGGTTTGGGGCTGAAGCCCCGAAGGCACGTGGCAGGTTGCAAAAGAACTGGTTTTGACCCTCATGACTCATAATCTGAGTCTGCAGATCACATTTCTGACTCTGCCGCCCCAGGCGACCCTTACCGGTTGCACCCCCGGAGCCATCGCCTGCGTCACAGCATCCTCGACCTCAGCTGGGGGCCTGGCCACGACTTGCTCCCACATGGGAGCTTACGATAATAAGGGACCCCTAAAATAGTAGGATCCCCTTGAAATAAGCACTCCAATGATAAGACCCCACATACCACCTAGCTGACCTGGCTCTTCCTTTCTGCTTGTACCTTACCATGTACTTCTGTCCTCGGGATCGCCATTCTCATTCGGTAGGGGTGTGCAGAACCTCTTGTGCCCAGCAGAGGGCTATCAACGGCGGTAGGGAAGCAAGCGCTGGAGGCTGGTGCCCCTGTGTGGGATCGTGGCACCGTGGAGGAGCGTATGGTGTATTCCCAGCATGTTAGCGGCATACTTGTTTCTTCAGAAAAAACGCTTTAAACTTGTCAGTTGGGATGCACGGCGCACGCAATCACCGCATGATAGTTTGACATTGCAAGTCGTGTACAGATTGCCTCGTACTGCATCTTGTACTCATGCATGACACACGGCATGAGTTTCGATATGACCAACACGGATGTGACGTATCACCAGACCACTAAACATTAGCCTGTCATCTCGAACATCATGATGTAGGGGGAACAGCATGCGTAGGACAACATGGACCTTGAGGTGCATGTGGACCTGTGAAAAGTGCTGTGCAATGCGATGGAAAGAAAATGTTTGAAGCTTAGCCCTCTAAATGAACAGTCAATATCTTTTCGACAACACAGACTTCATCACGGGAGCACGTTTCAATTATCTCATGGGGGTCCTATCTTATTATGTCTTCCCAGAACAGAAGCCCTCGCAGCAGTGCCACAACGGGACATGCCAATTGCATCACACACAGAAGAATAGTTTGAACACATATGTACACATATATACACACATGCATCATCATCTGAGTCCTGGCAGCCCTTGCATACATTCTTGTTGCTGCTGCAGCTGCTACCGTCGCGTCTGTCTTCACGCTGCCGCTACCTACGACTGGCAAAAGCACATAGGTTTCACTTGTTACTTGTTCACTGCGGTGGACATTCTGTGGTTGAGTGCTTCAGGCTGGTGATCACGAGTCATCAACGACACGGCCTGCAGCAGTGGCAGAGGAGGCTGACGAGACGATCACAGCCACTGGTGTCATCAGAGTCATCAGACTCGCCATACATGTCATCGTCATCATCACCCAGCTGCACCCAGCTCATCGACACAGAAGGCATGCTGCACGCATTGTGTGTTCGAGGGTGCGTGAGACATGCCCTTAGCATCTTGTGCAACATTGAGTTGTGTGTCACTGTGCGCTTGCACTTGCTATCTATGCACGGCACGAACTTCAGGCACTTCAGGGCATGCAGCATGTGGCAGCGACGATGCTGACCGAGCTGGGACGGCTAAGGCTTCGGCTTACGGCTGCATCGGAGTGCCGTTACCAAGACTCCAAAACGCAAAGTCCACGGACGGCAGAGAAGAAGGCGAAACGGAGAATCCGTGCAGCAATAACGAGGCGCAAGTCGGCTCCAGCGTCATCGTCCTGAGGAGGCGTGCCAAGTCGGACCTGGATCGGTTCGACGAGTGCGACGAGCAGGAGAAGCCGGAGAAGCCCAAGAAGGCGCGGAAGAAGGTTGTCAAGAAGTAACACAACTAGAACAAGCATCGTCGCCGCAGCCGATCAGATGGCACGAGCTCACGAGACATAGATTGAAAACCTTGTTGTCGAACATTGATGTGATGTGACCGAGAGTTTCACGCAGATCGGCGCAACATGACAACAAGACATGTCAGAAATGAGGCGAGGCAATGCGTGTTACAACTGTGCGACGTTGACTACATGTTCACGCACATGTGGAACTGCTACGTGGTCATGGAAAGCGGCCCTTTGTTTCGATGAACCGAATGCGTGTGAACAGACGCGTGCACTTTACTGATCGACATAAAATTTACTTGTCATGAGATGAAAGTATTCATGTCGCATGATAACGTTTTGGACGCAAATATGTTCATAGACTGTTAATCTGCCACGAGGGCACACACACACATCAAATCACAACACATCACATCACACATCATGGCACACCCGCCACCCTTTGTGTGTATACATATACGGCATCATCCCCCCCCCCTAATGTGCCTGCTTCTCTCTTTGCCTTACTGCTGCAGGTATCTCAAGTCTCAAGACATGTCTTGAAGGATTTCCGAATGAGAGCTCAGCTTCTCAGACTAATTAGAGTTGGGTTTGGGGCTTCTGCGAAGCTGAATATGGCTCGAGCAGCGGTTGAGACTACAGCAACATGCGGCATCAGCTTTTACTGCAAAAAAAGCGCCGTACTGTTCCACCAAAACAACTTTAAAATAAGCTAGCGTAAGAGAAACTGCTGCGTTGCCCCCAAAAAGACAACTACTCTTCGGGAACCTCCGCGCCAGTTCGTGCCCAGACGTCTCTGAAGATTGTTCTCTTGGTTTATTTTGGGACAGCGCAGCGCTTTTGCGTGTTGTACCACTAAATTTCCTTGGCAGTACACATTTTGGATGCCTCAGATTGCAAAACCGCAGTACGCCCCCCCCCCCTTCCCCCACAAAATCAACCTCTTCTAGAGACGACCCCCACAAAATCAACCTCTTCTAGAGAAGAATCAGCAAAAATGCTGCCCTATCCCGCAAACCCAAAAACACGATCTTCGGTCGGCAACCCCCAGGCCAGTTCATGCCCAGAGGGCTCTGTGCCGAAAACTCCCATAAACACCCAACAAAAGCCATCTTCGGTAACCCTCCAGACTAATTCGCGCCCAAAGGTTTCTGAAGATTGGTAACTTCGGTTTTCTGGGGACCCATGCAGCGTTTTTGAATGTTTTGGACAGTAGCGCGTTTCGGCCAAAAACAATCTGCGAAAGGCAGAGCTAGCAAAATGCTGCACTGTCACAAAAAAGCAGCCCGTTCAAATATGTTCCGTTCAAACTTGTGGGAACAAATCGCTAATTTATAACTAGACAGAGAGCAACCGTGTCTCGGTTCAATTTGCTTGACAGACGCGGTGACGTTTTGAAACTGCAAGCCGTGTTACATTTCAATTCAACGACTAGTAAAACTAGCGATCTCAGCAGCTGTGTGGCGTTCTCTTCCAAGGTATCCGGCCCTTCAAGCTTAGAGTGGAGGCAATGAAAATCAAATAAGTTAAACGGGCAACCTCCTCAATGGATAAAGATCATGTTTTGAGTTGCAATTTTAATTCACCGAATAGTATAAGTGGCCCCATTTGCAAAAGAAACAAACAAACAAAGAAACAGCCCGTGATTCTCACGATTAATTGGCACGGCGGAGCTGTCCTTCGTTCTCTTCCAATGTTTCCGGCCGTTCAAGATTAAACTTGGGGGAGTGAAGCTCTAACTGGTAAGAGTGCAACCATATTATGAGTTCATTGCGTTGCAAGCCCTGTAATTCAACGAACAGAAAAACGACCCCCCCCCCCCCCCCCCCCCCCCCCCCAAATATCAAAATAAACAACTGCCCCTGATTAGAATAATTGTACGGCGCGCCGGTCGTCCCGGCAGCTGAATTATTCTCTTTCAATCTTCCCGGCTATTCGATTTAGCACACGTGTTTTGAACCAATAGCTGTGTGTTTAAGTCATGCTCACGTGTTGCAGATCTGCAGAATGACGCGTGCGACGGCCGAGACAGAGCACGACTGCTTTGGCACGGAGTTCGCGAACATGATTGAGTCTTGGAAGGGCCCCTGCGGAGTCTGCAATTTCCATCTCGGTAAACCTTAAGCATAGCAGTTCCCCTCTCCAATTAAAGAATGTTCAAAAATTTAAACCCTGATCAACATAACCGGAGGCGCCAGTTATAGTTTTAAGGTAGGCGCATGGAAGCAGGGGCGGGGGCTGGGGGTCGGGGTAGCATATATACATATATATATATATATACACCACAACTGCATTAGATATTACACACAATATGTTACACATATGGCATGCCTTGATAATATGCTACAATTACATATTATTGCGTATTGTCTAATATGTATATATATGAGCATATATATATATATATATGCGCCTTTTTGTCTGTCTTATGCATTGTGAAGAACTGTGTATGCACACACCACACACATTTACAATTACAGAATAAATTAGAATAGAATAATACACAACGGAACGAGCTTTATTGGACAGATATGTCGCGGCCTCCCAGTACTAGTACGTTCTGATCGTTCTGTCTTATTGGTTTTGTGACGGGACCCACACCGTGGCCCAACCCCTTTCAGTTTCAGCGGCCCTTGGCCTGACACCCGCGACATGCCTGCAACCTCCAGCGCCCCGCTCCTGACCCTCCAGCGGCCCGCTCTTGAGGACTGCTCCTGGCCCTCCAGCGGGCCGCTCTTGAGGACTGCCCCCTCCAGCACCCCGCTCCTGACCCTCCAGCGGGCCGCTCCCCTCCTGCGGCCCGCTCTTGGGGGCTACCCCCTCCCGCGCCCCGCTCCTGACCCTCCAACCACCCGCTCTTGAAACCCGCTCTTGAAAACTGCCCCCTCCAGCACCCCGCTCCTGACCCTCCAGCGGGCCGCTCCCCTCCGGCGGCCCGCTCTTGCCCCCTCCAGCGCCCCGCTCTTGCGGCCCCTCCAGCACCCCGCTCCGGACCCTCCAGGCCCTGACCCTCTGCTCCCGATCTTTGTGACCCGTCCTTCCGGGGCTGCGCCCTCCAGCGCCCCGCTCCTGACCCTCCACCCCTTCCTCCTACGCCCACTCCAGCATCGCCCACACAGAAACATTCATATCACATTAAGAGTAAAACCATGATAAATGGAAGATTATAAATATAAGTGCATGTGTGTACATATATACATACACATATTTATATACGCATGTGTGTGTGGGTGAGTGTATCTAGTGGATAACATTAACTTTTGACACACAGCATGCATCATGATAGTAATGATACGGGCGTATAGTGTATGTCTTGGACTAAGCGCATTGTCTTGTACAATACAATATTGTTTTAAGCCGCTACGCTATACAATAATAATTATATGTATATGTATATATATGTATATATATATATATATTCATACATACATATATATACACACATATACATATTACATATATATATATATACATATACATATATGGTTCCCCTCCCCCGCCATGTGTCAGTGTCCCCCTCTTTGTTCGCCGCTTTACTGCAGGTACCTGAAAACATGTCTTGCAGGCCTTCTGGTTGAGAGTTCAGCAGTTCTAATGAACTAGAGTTGGGTCTGGGGTTTCTCCGGAGTTTCTCTTAAGGTTCGAAGCTGAATATGGCTTGAGCAGCAGTTGAGACTACAGCATCGCGTAATGTACTGTCCAAATTTTTTTACTAAACGGAAGAATCAGAAAAACAACCTTCGGAACCTCCAGGCCAGTTCGTGCCCAGACGTCTCTGAAGATGTTTTGGGTTGGTTTGGGACACTACAGAGTTGTTGCTTTTTTTCAAACAAAACATTAGGGTTTTCTGGACAGTGCAACAGCTTGGAAGCCTCAGACCAAAGCCCTGCATTGTCCTAAATCACTAATCTTCTAAAGGAAGAATAAACAAACGTGCTGCACTGTCCAACAAACACCATCCATTTTGCGCCCAGAGGTCTCCGTAAATTTATATTTTGGGTTTTTGTTGGCAGTACTAAAACATCGGTTGTTGTGGTTAGTAAAGCCATTTGTCCAAAAAATCCTTTAAAGGATGACTAAGCAAAAACGTTGTACTACTGTCCCAGAAAATCAAAAAACTTCGGGAACCTCCAGGCCAGTTCATGCCCAGAGGCCACTGAAGATGTGTTTTTTGTGCTTCGGTGACAGGGCAGCTTTTGTGCATGTTTTACCGCTATAACTTTGGAATTTTTGTGACAGTACAGCATTTTGTAGACCTCAGACTACAAAAGCCCCTAACCCTGCACTGTCCCAAAAACATATTTTGAAAGACAAATAAACAAACATTTTGTACTGTCCCACAAAAAAAGGAACAAACTTCGCTAACTTCCCGGCCAGTTCAGGTGTCTGCAGGTTGGTATTCTTGGGCTTTTGGGGGCGCGTCTTTTGGACAGTACAACATTTTGGAGACCTCAGGCTGCAAAAGCCCTGTATTGTCCCAGGAAAACAAAACCTTTGAAGGAAGAATAGCAAAAATGCTGTACTGTCCCAAAAAACAAGCCATTCAATTGTTATCAGTTTAAACTTGCTGGAACAAATATCTAGCTAGACAGCGTGCAACTGTATCGGTTCAATCAATGCGTTTGATAGACGTGATAATGTTTTTAACTTGCAAGCCATGCGCAAAACATAGCCCCTGACTATACCGATTCTTTGGCACAGCGGTGATCTCAGTAGCTGTATTTCGTTCTCTTCCAATATATCCCGGCCCTTCAAGCTTAGACTTGAGGCAATGAGTATCTAACTAGTTAAAAGTGCAACCCTATAAGTTCAATTCCCTCAATGGATAAAGTTCATGTTTTGAGTGGCAAGCCATTTTAATTGGTAAAAGAATTCACCGAATAGGATGCGTGGCCCCAACTTGCAGCAAGAAATATTGAAAGATTCCTAACGATTCTTTGGCACGGCGGTGATCTCAGTAGCTGTCCTTCATTCTCTTCCCATGTTTCCGACCG